CAATTTAGTTACTGATTACATGTATTTGCATCATTTCTTTACTAACTCCCTCAAAGCATTGTAGTCGTACATGGATAGAATTCAGTCGTTACATATTTATTATGTAGTGGTGCTAGTGGTAAAGAACCCACCTGTCAATGCAGGAGATCTAAGAGACAAACAGCTAATATTTGTATTAATATTATATATATATATTTATACACACACACACACACAGGGCTTCTCTGATGGCTCAGTGGTAAAGAATCCATCTGCCAATGCAGGAGATGGAGGCTAGATCCCTGGGTCAAGGTTGCAAATGGCAACCCATTTGCGTGTTCTTGCCTGGGAAATCCCGTGGACAGAGGAGCCTGTTGGGCTACAGTCCATAGGGTTGCAAAGGGTCAGACATGATTTAGTGACTAAAGAACAGCAAGAAACGTGCTATAATACAGAGGTGTTCAATGTGCTGTGGAAACACATGAAGGAGCGTTTAGTTCTTAGACATAAGTGAGATCAAATGAGCTACAGAGATGCTAAAGGTGAAATTTCAGCTAACCTTGAAGAATATAAGTTGGAGTTCATCAGTGAGGCAATGGATAACCAACAAGGTTGTAAAGATAAGAAATTCTCCTTTCCTTAAAAAATCAGCAATGTCCAGTTTTTCAACTTGGAGGCAGGAGGCAGTGATGGCCAGGAGGAAATAATCACTAATATTTGTATTCATGTTATGTATGTATGTATGTATATAGGACTTCCCTGGTAGTTCACTGGTAAAGAATCTGTCTGCCAATGCAGGAGACATACTCAGGAGATGCAGGTTCTATCCCTAGTTTGGGAAGATCCCCTGGAAAAGGAAATAGCAATCCACTCCAGTATTCTTGCCTGGGAAATCCCACGGTTAGAGGAGCCTGGCAGGCTACAACCCATGGGGTTGCAAAAGAATCAGACACAACTTAGGGACTAAGGCAAGTAAACAACAACAACAATATATGTACATGGAGTATAGCATATGTAGCATTCTACATCTGTTATTTCAATTTAATCCTCAAAACAGTAGGTATTGCCCTTGTACTCATTTTATAAGAAAAGGAACCCTGGGCTCCCCTGCTGGTGTAATGGATAAGAATCTGCCTGCCAGTGCAGGAGACACCAGTTCGATCTCTGGTCCAGGAAAATTCCACATGCCACGGAGCAGCTAAGCCCATGTGTCGCAGCCGCGGAGCCTGTGCGCCACAGCAAAGGAAGCCACTGCCGCGAGAAGCCGGTGCATTGCAGCGAAGAGCAGCTCCCGCTCCCCACAACTGGAGAAAGCCTGCCCAGAAGCAATGAAAACCTAGCACAGCCAAAAATAAAAGGAGAAAAAAACTCTAGTTAAAAAAAAAAAATAAATAAGGAACCCTGGGGCAACAAGGTCCCAGATTTTGAACTGAGACATTTTATCTTCATTAACTGCTCTTAATCACTACACTGTTTGAAATGCAATTGGACACGGTGGGGGCGAGGGGAAGGTAGGGTGAACTGGGAAAATAGCGTTGACAGGTATACACTACCAGATATAAAACAGCGGGAAGCTGCTGTTAGCCCAGGGAGCTCAGGCCAGTGCTCTGTAACACTCTAGAGTGGTGGGGTGGTTGGGAGAGACTCGAGGAGGGGATGTATGCATCCATACATCTAATTCACTTTATTGTACAGCAGAAACTAACACAATATTGTAAAGCAATTATACTTTAATAAAATTTAAAAAGTGAAAAGGGCAGGTTTCAAAGCATCTGTGTGTCATAATGCAGAGTGCATCAGGAGGGCCTTTCAGGGACACATGAAGAACAGCTAAGGCGGAAACGTGAAGCGAACCCTGCTCTGTCTCTCCTGCGTTTGCCGACCTCTTATTTCCCGACTGTTTGTCAGAGAGAAGAGGAGCGGCTGAAATCATCTTAGAGTCTGAGGGCGTCTGGGAAGTACATAATGTCGTTAAGACATGAAAGAAATAGCAATGTAACTATTTCTCCCAACCTCCAGGTAAAGTTATATCCAAGAATGAAATTAGGAATATTAAAATGTTAGATATAAGATCAATTCCTATCAGTTGGAAGATTACTAGAAAATAACTACTAATAGGTATAGATTTTCTTTGGGGAATGATGAAATGATTCTCACATTAGATAACAGTGATTTTTGCAGAACTCTGTGAATGTACTAAAAACTGCTGAATTATATACTTTAAAGGGTGAATTTTATGTTATGTGAATTTTTTGTTAAAATTCAGTAAAACCCTTATTTTATAAATAAATAAACCTATACTAGAAACTAAATAATAAATCTGCTTCTATCACAGGTATGAAAACAGAAGAGGGACTTCCCCGGCAGTCTAGTGGTTCAGACTCTGTGCTTCAGTGCAGGGGGTGAAGGTTCCATTCCTGATCAGGAAACTAAATTCCCATACACTTTATGGCAAAAAAAAAAAAAAAAGAAGAAGAAGAAAAGATGAGCCCCTGTTGAAGAGCTAATAAACTGTGACACGCAAAAATTCAACCATGTGTGATGTCTGATAACCAGCCTGTACACTAGCATTTATTCATCCAATAAGTGTTTTGACTACCTGTGTTACAGGTCCTGTGTGCAGTGCTAAGAATATAATGGCAGCAGACGACTTGTTAAGTGACTGCACCGCAGATGGTGACTGGGGGCATGGCATCTAGGGAAGCAGAGTCCAGGAGGGCAAATATTGGCAGAATTTCTTCAGCATATCTAGGGGTGAGGGTACTGTGGCCCACAAACAAATCAATGTAGCAGACTTCCCTGGTGGTCTAGTGGCTAAGAACCGGCCTGCCAATGCAGAGGACACGGTTTTGATCTCTGGTCCGGGAAGATTCCACATGCTAAGGAGCAACTAAGATCATGTGCCACAACTTCTAAGCCTCTGCTCTAGAGCCTGTGTGTTGCAACAAGAGAAGCCACGCTCCACAACTAGAGAAAGCCCCCACGCAGCAATGCAGCACAGCCAAAAATAAATTTAAAAAAAACTTTACCCTATGCAAAGTTAAAATGTATTTTAAAAAAAAGTATGTAGCAAGAATAATAATAAACTTTAATTAAGAGACTTCCCTGGTGGTCCAGTGGCTAAGACTTTGTGCTTCCAATGCAGGGGGCATGGGTTCGATCCCTGGTGGGGAATCTATGATCCCACATGACGCAAAAGGTGACCAAAAAAATGAAACAAAAACACCCTGGTGCAGTCAAATAAATAAAATAAATATTAACAACAACCACCAAGAACTTTGTGAAGATGGAAATGGCAACCCACTCCAGTATTTTTGCCTGGGAAATCCCATGGACAGAGGAAACTGGCAGGCTACATTACATGAGATCATAAAGAGTCAGAAACAGCTTAGTGACTAAACAACAACTATACAGATTTTGGATTTCTGTCTTTCAGACCTGTGCAAGAATAAATTTCTATTGTTTTAAGCCAAAAAAACACCTTTAATTAAGCACTTATTCTGTGCCAGCCAGTGTAAGTACCTTATAAAATTATTTAAATTTCAAAACTCTCAGAAAATCATTAAAGATCTGTAATTCCATATTCAAAATCCATAGGGCCAGGCATGTTTCAGAGTTCGGGAAATTTCCGGTTTCAGAAAGGTAAAATGGGGAATTCCCTGGCAGTCTGGTGATTGGGACCCTGCACTTGCACTACCAAGGGCACAGGTTCAATCCCTAGTCCGGGACCTAAGATCCCACAAGCCATGGGGTACGTGGCCAAAACATAAAAATAGAAAAGTAAAATGGTACATATATTAATCACCCATAAAAAAAAATAATAATCACCCATAATCAATATTTCTGGAGTAAAAATGTATACATAGTCTCCAGGATGAGTTTTTAAAAGACCACAAATAACCACACTTCTCTTCAGGTCAGGTTTAGCTGCCATATGAACTACCTCCAAAGTAGTATAGATTACAAGGTTTTTTGGATTTTGGAATCATGAATAATCATTTTTCCCATTTCTCTGATGAAGAAATTGAAGTAAGAGAGGTCAGGTTGCTTGCCCACAGTCATACGGCTTATGAAAGGAAGAGACAGAATTTTAACCCAGGCCATCTGGCTTGAAAACCTTTATTCCTAACTCCACCTGCCCACCCCTGCCAGGTAAATCCCGGCTGTGGACGCAGAGGCTTGTCCTTGGAGACCTGCTACTCAGGACCTTTGGGGTAGAACACCAGGAATTCTGAGAAATCTCAGAATGTATTTTCCTGAAGAGGAGAAACCTGCAAGTCTGAGGCAGTCTAGATCTCACGTTCCTTCTCCACTTACAGACCTCCCTCTGCGGACCCAGAAGACCTGGCTAGAACGGTGCTCTTGCCCTCCTTTAACCATCAGACTGGAGGTGACTGTGAGCCCCACAGGGCAAAACCCAACCCCGGGCTACAAAGGAGTGTGGACTGTGAGCCTCTGGGAGGGGGGAGAGGGCGGCAGGGCTTTGAGAAGGCCCAGGCAGCGGAAAATGAACTCTCCACAACCTACATGACAATGACCTACAGTGTCCTGCCCATGACCCCCTCACATTTGAAAGCCATGTTCTAACGTTCTATCTTTAAACCTCTGATCTCCACACCCCACTCCCACCCCCTACTGCCAGGCTTCCGAGCAAGGCTATCAATCCGAAGAGGAATTTCATCTCTGACCTTTGTCCCCAGGCCTGGCGGCCCACACGGGTAACCCACTCTCTCCCAAAGTTGGCCGAGGGACAGCCGAACCAACCTCGCCTCACATCCCCCACGCTGCACTTTCGTTGACGATGAGGCTTCTGCCAGGTTCTACCTGTAACTGACTTCATCTCTCAAGCTGGAGGTTTGACTGCGCTACCCACTACAGCCAGGGTTCATGCCAGCTGGACACACTTTGCTTCCGGGGCCCCCGGCGGCCGGCAGGGAAGGAGCGGAGACCACAGCTGGAGACCCTGAATCCCGGGGTTGCAGCTCTGTCTCAGGCGCGGAGCTCAAGCAGGCCCCTTGGCGATGATCTGCTCCCTGTTCCTGGCAGCCCTGGTCCTGGCCGCAGCCAGGGGGGCCGCTCCCAGAGCTGACAGACAGTGTCCGGCCTGCGGGGAGCCGGCCTTGGACGTGGAGAGCCACCGGGAGCTGCTGCTTAACCTGGCCAAGAGGCGCATCTTGGCCCAGCTGCGCCTCAGCCGGCGCCCCACCCTGGGCCGGCCGGTGTCCCGAGCTGCCCTGCGGGCTGCGCTGCAGCGTCTCCACGGGCCCCCGCAGGGGGCGCCTCCGGAAGCCGACGGGGGCCAGGAGTATGACATCATCAGCTTTGCCGAGACAGGTGGGTTCTTGGCCTGTAGATCTTCCCCCAAACTCCATCTGCTCAGGAAACGAAAAGCTTCCTCCCTGATATCTAACCTCTGACGTTCTCCCCAAAGCCATCCCAGCTCTGGCCTCCCACAGCCTATAGTCTCCTAATCCCAGGCTCCCAACCCCCACCCACCCAAGCGCTCCCTTATAGTTTAGACTTGACCCATGGGCACCTGAGAAGTGGGTACCTTTCACTTCTCTTTGAGACTGCCTACCCCATCTCCCCTGGTTCCTCTCTCTGCAGGCCCCACACACTTCCACAGGCTGTGATGTGAGCCCAGCCACTTCCTGAGCCTGGACTCAGGGTCTGGGAACTGCAGAGTCTGTCCCTCCTCTGGCCCCAGGATCCAGCCTGTCTGTACCCCGTCCCCCCCTCCCCAGATACCTCATTTGGGTAAAAGGTAGAAAAGTGAAAAACTCCAATTACAATTTCGCTCCACCGACTCCTGTCCTCTTGCTTGGTGACCTTGGGTTCACATCAGAACAGGGTCAAAATGGGGCTCAGAAAGATCTTTAAAGGATAGATCAAAACGGGGGTGGGGGTAGAGAATTTAGTGGGCAGCTGGAGAGAATATCAGGAATTCAGAGACAGGGGGATTCTTTGCTGGTCCAGAGGTTTTGGAGTAGGAAATGGCAGCCCGTTTCATTTTTCTTGCCTGGGAAATTTCATGGATGCAGCCTGGTGGGCGGGCTGCAGTCCATGGGGTCACAGAAAGTGGGACGTAACTGAGCATGCATGCCAGTGGCTTAGGGCTCTGCACCCTCATGGCTGAGGGCCCAGGTTCAATCCCTGGCTGAGGAACTAAGATCTCAAAAGCCTCAAGGTGGGGCCAAAAAAAAAAAAAAAGAATTCAGAGATAGGATCTGAGAAACAGAACTTAAACAAACGATCTCTCTTGCCTCTGAGCTTCTTGCACGTTTGTCTTGGGTTTAGAAGGCCCTTCCCAATCCTGGTCCCTTTCCTTTGGTCAGCATTTACTTCCTTCAAGACCCAGCGCCCCCACCCTGAAAACGCCCACCCTGCCTTGAGGCTGAGGGGCTCCCTCTCCTGTGGCTCCCATACCCTCACCCGGAACCTGGACCTTGCTTGTGGACTTGCCTGTTTCCAGGTTTTCCATGAAGTCTGTCTTCCCATAGAATTCAACCCCTTGAGTTCAGGAACTGCCATTGATTCCTCACATTATCACCAGAGAATAGTATGTAGTAGAAATAACTAACACTTATACAATATTTGGGCTTCCCCAGTGGCTCAGTGGTCAAGAACCTGCCTGCAATGCAAGAGACACACAAGACTGGGGTTCGATCCCTGGGTCGTGAAGATCCCCTGGAGGAGGACATGGCAACCCACTGCAGTATTCTTGCCTGGAGAATCCTATGCACAGAGGAGCCTGGCGGGCCACAGTCCATAGGGTTGCAAAGAGTCGGACGTGACTGAAGCGACTAAACACGCACATGTACAATGTTTACAGTGTCCTAAGCCTTTTACAGATACTAACTCCTTAAGAGGCTCTCAAGTCAGGTAGGCAAATACTACTGTTTGTATTTTAGAAGTTACGAAGCTGAGGCTCACAGAGGTTGAGTAGCTAGCTCAAGGCCATATGACCAGTAGGTGGTGGGACCAGACAGCCTGGGTCTCAAATCCTTGACCCTGACCATCATACCACTCTGCCTCTTGCAAACAGAGTGGATGCTTGACAAACAACCAAACCATTCTGTAGCTGAGCTTGACCATGTCTAGAGTCCCCAGTGATGAATGAGACCCTATTCCAGCTCAAAAAAGTGTTTCTGCTCATAATATAGAACACAGACTCTGGAGCCAGATAAACTGGGCTCAAATTCCAGCTCAGCCACTTATTGATATATGTCCTGGGTTGTTGATAGTTTTCTCATTTGCAGAACAGAGATAATGAGAGGGTAGTTGAGAGAACTGAGTGAACTAATTAATGTACTTAGAAAGGATGGTCTTCCCTGGTGGCTCAAAAAGTAAAGAATCTGCCTGCAATGCAGAAGACCCAGGTCAATCCCTGGGTCAGGAAGATCCCTTGAAGAAGGGAATGGCAACCCACCCCAGTATTCTTGCCTGGAGAAACCCACAGACAGAGGAGCCTGGCAGACTGCAGTACGTGGGGTTGCAAAGAGCTGGACACGACTGAGCGACTGACACTTTCACTTTCTTTCACTTAGAAAGGAGAAGGTGTGAGGGAACTTAGAAGACTCAGCTCCTGCCCATGAAGAGTTTAATTGATACTTCTAGGAATAAATTATTTAGAATACAAGGCAGAATGAAATGAATGCTGGATATGGACACAGGTACTTCATGGCCAGAAGTCAGTCACTGGGCCTGGCAGGACAGGCGAGTCTTTCAGAAGTTTACAAATAGGCTAGATTGCACAGGAAGTCTAACATCAGTGGGTGAAAAATGGTCAACAACATCCTAAACGGAAACATACGAGTAAAAATCTGAAGAAATGGACTGCATTTGGAGCTGAAGGCAGTTTGGAGTGGATGAACACAAAGTGGACAGTGGCCATGAAACCTTGAGTCCTTTGAACACCACAATGCTGGTTGTTTTTATTATTTATTGCTGTTACCATCCTATCTGCTACTAAGCCTTATGAATTCATTTTTTTCAGTATTTATTTTATTTTTTGTTGCATTGGGTCTTCATTGCTGTGGCTTCTTTTGTTGCAGAGCGCACGCTCCAGGCGTGAGGGCTTCAGGGGTTGCAGCGCGTGAGCTCAGTCGTTGTGGCTCATGGGCTCCCAAGCGTGGGCTCAGTCATTGCAGCTCATGGGGTTAGTTGCTCCTCACATGTGGGGTCTTCCCAGCTCACAGGTCGAATCCCTGTCCCTTGCATTGGCAGGTGGCTTCTTCACCTCTGTGCTTCCTGGTCGGCTTTTCTCACCTTTGTGTCCCTGATGCTTGGCCCAGGTCCTGGCACACTGTGGCAGGAATGACCATTACCAGGTGTTTATTGTACCTGCCTCCTCTCAGTTAATCCTGGCACAAAGTAGACTTTATCATTCCCTGGTCACTCAGACGGCAGAGAATCTGCCTGCAATGCCAGAGACCCAGATTCTATCCCTGGGTCAGGAAGATCCCCTGGAGAGGGAAATGGCAACCCACTCCAGTATTCTAACCTGGAGAATTCCACGGACAGAGGAGCCTGGCAGGCTACAGTCCAGGGGGTCACAAAGAGTGACTAACATTTTATCATTCCCATCTTAAGAATGCAGAAACTGAAACTTGAAGAAGGTAATTTACATGGTCAAGGTCATACAGCTTACCAAGGGCAGAATTCAAGCACAGCTCTCTCTGACTTTAAAGTCTATATACTTTCCATATTTGCTAATCAGTGAATGAACACAGCATTTGGGCTGAGGGGGTGTGACCCAAAATGACCTTTGGAACTGAGAATGACTGATCCCTGGATCCTATCTTCTTATATTTAAATATTTTAGTTTCAAGTTTTCATTCCAACTTAAGCTATTATCTCCACCATTGTGTGAAAGAGAAGATCTGAGAGTTGTTCTTGCTAGAGATACAAAGAGAAAGAGCTTGGGGCCCCGGAGAAACCAGGGGAAGAACCTCCAGTGGTGTCCTGACGCTGGCTCAGACTGGTTCTTGAGGCCTGATGGTGAACATCTGCCAGCTGTGCACCTAGTGGTGCCACACTGGCACCTGAAAGTGGCCAGAGTAGGAGAACGTATTCCTCAGAAACTGGCTAACGCTATCAGTCAGCGCCTTTTCCCCCCACTCTGGAATCCAGTTGTTAAATATTTACCAGCACAACACTGCCTTTGACCTAAAAATTCAAGTTATCTGCTTCCCACATACCTAACGTACAATGCTGAGACAGGAATGGAATAACCATAGTAGATACACCTGTTCAAAATGGGAGACAGGGGAGGAAGACGCAGAGCAGTCACTGGTCCATGAAAATTCTACCCTCAGTCTGGAGTTCCTTTGGTTAAGGCCTTTTTCTGCGATTTTCCTCTCGTCTTAAGAAGAGCCCACCATTGCTCTCCTAGGCTTCTAGATCCGCTCTCTCAACCCATAGTGCCAGCCCCAGATGTCTTTCCTTTTAAATGAAAAGTGGCCTGTGTTTGCAGCTGAGCAGTTTTTTCAGCCTGCATCTGCCCAAAAGAGTTGGGGGCCTGGAGACCTGGAAACTTCTTTTCATTCTGAGTAATTTCTATCTCTTTTAGTCCAAATTGGTGCTGCTTTCACTATTAAAGTTCTCTTTAACACTCTGTGGGCCTTCTAAATAATAAATTATAGCCTACTCAGTCAGACAAAAGGCCCTCCATTCTATCAAGACAGATGCCTGTCTTTAGGTTACAAGTCAGGGTGTTGGGGGATAAGATTCTTAGAAGCCCTTCTGTCTAGCTGAGAGAATCTATAGAGAAACATCTTACATTTTAGATCTTTGAACTTCCCTGGTGGCCCAGTGATTAAGACTCCGTGCTTCCACTGCAGGAGCACTGGTTCCATCCCTGGCTGGGGAACTAGTGTGACCAAGGGAAAAAAAAATCTTAGCAAAGATGTTAGATCCTAACAAAAGGTCTTAGAGCTTACCCTTTACTGTTTTGATCATAACTCTGAAGCCATGTTTTACCTGCAGTGTCCTGGGGTTGATTTTTGCCCTGAGACCATTTCTTAGTTTGAGAACCTTTTGCCAGAGTTGAGGAATGAAGAAATATTTTATTGTTCAATCTAACAAGTCCTGTTGGAAAGTTTTTCTCTAAATTCTGCTTGAACATTGAACAGTTCCTTTTTTAGTTCATCTCACTCTTGAGATGCCTTATCATGGGCAGCTAAAATAAGCCAATTGGCACTTTCAACATTCTGCCCAGAAATATCTTTAGCTAAATTCACAACTTTGTTAGATACCATTTCTAGCTTCCAAGTTACCAGAGATGATAGCCAATACATAACACAGGTTCCCCTTTCTCTAGCTTCCAACAGCGATCCCTTCCCTGTCCTTCCTGCTTCACCAACAGTCTCCCTGCTGTCCTTCCATCCCTGGTCTGCCACCCTGTCCTGAAGCCTGTCTGCATATTTTAAGCCTTCGCTATGGTGTACCCCACTTCAGATACTTATTTCTGTGTTAGTTATCCATTATTAGAACAGATCAGCTCAAACATTGAGGCTTAAAGGAAAAAAAAATCAGTATTTTCTGTGATTTTGTAGTTTGACTGGACTTATTCTGGACAGTTCTTTCACTTGATGTGGGATTGCTGAGGTCATTCAAGTAATTGCGTTCTCAGATAGGGCTAAAATCTCTAGGATGGCCTCTGATCTTCCGAAGTCTCTCTCCACATGGATCCTCACCATTCGGTAGTCTAGCCCAAGTGTCTTTAAAGCATTTAGAGGTTTCCTGGACTCCTCTGGCAGTCCAGTAGTTAAGACTCCACACCTCCAATACAGGGGGCGCAGGTTCAATAACCAGTCAGGGAACTAAGGTCCCACATGCAGCCAAATGAAAAAAAGCAATTTAAAATAAAGGTTTCAAAAAAATAATAAATAAATTAAATAAAGGTTTCCTTCCAAGAGGAGGAAGCCTCAAAGTACTTATTAAGTACTTATTAACCATCTACTTGCGCTGTGCTTGCCTACCTCTCGTTGGCCAAATCAAGTCACGGGCCAAGCCCAGAATTAATATGGGAAGGGTTTGCACAAAACCGTGAATATTGGGAGGCGTTGTTCACCGATGGTCAGCAATGTAGAAGTCCACCACGGCCCCTGCTGGTTCTGTGTCTGCGTGCTATGACTGGGGTGACTTACGAGGTTCTGAAAGGTAAGGGCGCTTAGGGACCTAACAAGAAAAGATTTCCTGAGCCAATCAGACTCTTCTTTTAGGATTTTGGAATTGGAACACTAAAGAATTAGATCACTTAGCTAGCAAGAGCTAAGTTAAAAGTTCTGTAGACTCAGGAGTGGGGGCCACCGTTTAGAGACCTGAGGAAGCTCACAGCGAGGCAAAAGAGGTAGATCCAAAGAAAGAGAAGAAGGGAGTAGACTTCCATAGGGAAACTGAGATGACTGAGATCTTGCAGACTGTCAGAGCTGTCTAGAACAACCATATTCCAGGCTCTACAATTCACACCAAGTCTAGTTGAATTTTAGTTTCTGTTCTTTTATGCCCATGAGCGTATCAGTGACTTTCCCACAATAAAGCATTCTTTACTTAAAATAAATTTTAAAAAAGGGTCACTAAGGCCAAAGCATAATGGCATTTAATTGCCTTCTAAAACAGGTGTATTCATCAATAAGTCTTTTTAAACTATGAATTTTATGATCTAGCCTTTTGGAAAATAATTCTGATGTCAGCATAAAATAAGAATGAAAGACCTGACTTCCCTGGCAGTCCAATGGTTAAGACTTTACCTTTCAACACAGGAGATGGGGATTCAAACCCTGCTCAGGGAATTAAGATCCCACATGCCTCCAAGCTGAAAAACCAAAGCATAAACCAGAAGCTATGTTGTAACAAGTTCAAAACAGACTTTAAAAATGGTTCATTAAAAAAAAAAAGAATGAAAAAAAGAATGAAAAGCCATCCACTCAAAAAGTGTTTATTGAATGCCTATTATGTACCAGGTGCTAGGGATACAGTGGTGAGCCACACAGACACAGTCTGTGCCTTTGTGGAGTTTACATTCTGGCTGGGAGTGGGGATGGGGGAAGAAGTGGGAAGGAGAAGCATATAGTCAACAAATGAACAAAAAAGCCAAGATGATTACAGAGCTTGACAGTGGCTATAAAGACCAGTTAAACAGGGTGGTGTATTAAAGAGATGAGGGTAAAGTTGAAGGCTGTTTTAGCTGGGTCAGTCAGGGAAGCCCCTCTAAAGAAGCAGATTTGAGCTGAATGGCAAGAAGGAGCCAGTCATTCAACATTCCTGGAAAGACATTCCAGGCAGGGGACATAGCAAGTGGAAAGGCCATGAGGTGGGTCCGTGCTTCGTAAGAGTTTAAGGAGCAGGAAAAACCAGCACAGGTAGAATATAGCCATTAAGTGGTGGGAGGCCCAGTCATGCAAGTTTTCTAGGCTGTGTGCGTGCTACGTTGCCGGAGTTGTGTCTGACTCTGAGTGTCCATGGACCATAGCCCGCCAGGCTCCTCTGTCCATGGATGTCTCTAGGCAAGAATGTCAAGGGGTTTATTTATTCTAACTCTGGCTGTTCTGAGTCTTCATTGCAGTGTGCAGGCTCTTCCTTGTGGTGACTGGGTTTCTCCAGTTGTGGCACTAGGGATTAGCTGCACCACAGCATGTGGGATTTAGCTCCCCGAGGATCAGAGATTGAACTCACATCCTCTGCATTGGAAGGTGGATTCTTAACCACAGGACCACCAGGGAAGTCCCTGTTAAGGGGTTTAGATTTTATTCAAATAGCAATGGGAAGCCTTTGAAGGGTTTTAGGCTGAGAGGATTAAGCTGATCAGATTTATGCTATAAAAAAATTACTCTGGGACTTCCCTGGTGGTCCAGTGGTTAAGACTCCGTGCTTCAACTGCAGTAGGTGTGAGTTCGATCCCTGGTTAGGGAACTGAGATCCCACATGCCACATAACACAGCCAGAAAAAAAAAAAATTACTCTGACTAATGTGGTTTTGTGGGCAAGAGTGAACCGACCACTTGGCAAGCTTTTGCCATAGTTCAGGAAAAAGATGATTGTGGGTTGAACTAATGTATGGTAGAGGAGGTGGGGTTAAGTGAAATTATATTATGAACTGGAGATATAGTTGACAGGTCTGTCTGCAGATTATTTCAAAGAAGGGAATGAGGGCAAGCAAGACTTTGGTTTAAGCAATACTTTTATAGGGAAAGGGAAGATTGAAGAAGGAACAGGTTTGAGTTGGGGGTTGGGGAGGATAAACCTAGAGTTCTTCTCTAAACTTGAAAAGTTTGAGATAGCATTTGGATATCCTAATGGAATATCAGATCTGCGGCTGGATATACAAGCCTGAGGCTCAGGGAGAGGTCAGGGCCACAGATATAGCTATCTAGGGAGTTATCAGCATATAGATGAAATTGAAAGCCAAGGGAATTGATGGGATCTTTCTGGGAGAGAGTACAGATAGAGAAGAGAAGGGAGTTGAGGACCTCCAAACATTTAGAGGTCAGGCGAGCTGTCAGCCAAAGAGACCAAGATAGAGTAGCCAGTCACGAAAGCAGAGAGAAGGAAATATTTCCAGAAGGAGGGAATGGTCCACTGTGTCAAACACCTGCTTGAAGTCCAGGTAAGGGGAATATAGAGATGAAACCATCTGGATACAGCGATGTGGAAGGTGTTAGTGATCCTGACAAGAGCAGGAGTGGAGGGGACAGAAATCCAATTAATGTGTTTCAGTAGGTCAGGTGAGAGATGAAGAGGGGAAATCGGGCAACAGTAATAGGTACAGGAAGAAATGCAGAGCCATTTTTTTTCGGTCGAGCTACACAGCATGTGGGATCCTAGTTCCTTGACCAGGAATTGAACCCACACCCCTCGAACTATAAGCATGGAGTCTTAACCACTGGACAGCCAGGTAAGTCCTTATGCCAGTCATCAGAACCACTCTGGTGAGGAACTGGCTGTGGAGAATAAGGGAGGTGATCTTAGGGTTTCTAAAGATGATAAGCAAAGCAATGGTGTCCCCTATTCTAAGAACAGAAAGAGAGGTGTGTAGGGAGGAAAACGATGATTTCTGCATTCCTACAGAATGTGGTAAAATTAGGCAGTTAGAAGTTTAGGCCTGAAGCTTGGTGATTCCCAAGGTGCAAAATGGTCTGGACTGGACTGACAGATTCGGGAATCACCAGCCTAAGATTTGTGCTGGCTGCCCGCAACCGTGGGTCAGGGCTCCCCTCGGTGTAGAGTAAGAGGAAGTAGGACTTCCCTGGGGGTCCAGTGGTTAAGACTTCGAGCTTCCACTGTAGGGGGTCGGGTGGGCATGCTCGATCCCTGGTTGGGGAAATAAGGGCTAAAAAAAAAAAAGAGGAAAGAAAAGTCAGAGAAAGAAAAGCCAGTAAAGAAAATTAAGCAAAATAATAATAATAATACTAAGCAAAAAAAAAGAGAAAGGAAGAAAGTTGAGTATCCTGAGAGAGCTGTGAGGAGAGATCTTTAAGAAGGAAAGGGCCCTTAACAAGCCAGGACTGTGGCTGAGAAGGAGCGCGGGGAGGTAGTGGGCGGGACAGACACTCGGGGCAGAATGACGGGGCTTCTCGTGTCCGCAGGCCTCTGCAACCCCACCCGGACGCGCCTGGATTTCCACTTCTCCTCTGGCAGCTCAGCTGGCGGCCTGGAGGTCCACCAGGCCCGCCTCATGTTCTTTGTGCAGCTCCCTCCCAATACCAGCTGCACTCTGAAGGCGAGGGTCCTGGAGCTCAGCCCACGTGACACCAACCGCACCTCGGCCACTCAGCACCTGCTGCAGGTAGACGACAGTGGCTGGCACCAGCTTCTCCTGGGGCCTGAAGCTCAGACCGCCTGTAGCCTGGGGCACCTGGCCCTGGAGCTGGCCCCCGAAGGGCAGGTGGCCTGCAGCCCCGTCATCGTGGCGGGGGCTGCGCACAGGCCTTTCGTGACAGCTCGGGTGAGAGTCAGGGGCAAGCACCGGGTTCGCCGTCGAGGCATCGACTGCCAGGGCAGGTCCAGGATGTGCTGTCGACAGGAGTTCTTCGTGGACTTCCGGGAGATCGGGTGGCACGACTGGATCATCCAGCCTGAGGGCTACGCGATGAACTTCTGCACAGGGCGCTGCCCCCTGCACGTGGCGGGCATGCCCGGCATCGCTGCCTCCTTTCACACCTCGGTGCTCAACCTGCTCAAGGCCAGCACGGCTGCCAGCTCCACCGGAGGCGGGTCCTGCTGTGTGCCCACCGTCCGGCGCCCCCTCTCTCTGCTCTACTATGACAGGGACAGCAACATCGTCAAGACTGACATTCCTGACATGGTCGTAGAGGCCTGTGGGTGCAGTTAGTCTGTGGGTACAGGCAGCTGGGGTGGGGGGACAGGCAAACACGCCCTGACGGAGCTGCTCTTCCTCCATAGTACATGTGGCCCTCTTTCCTGCCGCTGTCCAGAAGCAACTCGGGGAAATGATCCCCACTTGGATGTGACGAGACCTTCACCTAGGGAGGGCCACTGTGATCTAAGGAGACCCATGGTACCGTCTTCATAATGACCAGCCCCTTTCCTAGAGCAGAGTCCATTCAGCAAGCCCCATGTGCTCAACCGCCCCCCCAGGGACCCTGATGCATCTCCAGCCATGAGCAGGGCCATCTGAGTCCCAGACAGACACCCACAGCCCAACTGCAATCCCGCCCACAATCCCCTGCACCTCCTGCCCTTTCTACTGCGCGTCCCGCGCTGCAGGATGAGTTGGCCAGCCCCATTCCCTGCTTTTCTGGATCTCCAGAGAGTCCCTCCCTTAGATTCACTAAACATTGCATCCTCTCTATGTCTTGAGCCCTTTTCCCTAAAGCCTCTCTTGGCATGCCTTCATTCACTCTTTGTCCTTCTCCATTTGGCTCTATACCCTTGGGGGCTGACTCACCTGAGTTCCTTTGGCCTCTGGCTTCCTGATGAGTTTGACTGGCCTAGCAAACTAGCAAGAGTGGAAAGCTCTTACAAGCCAAGAGCGTGGAAGCAGGGATACCAGAACTCGGCGGAGCTGGAGCTGTGGAGGGAGTGGGGAGCTGGACAGGAAGTGTAGGGACATGCACACGGCCACAGAACCATGGAACCTAGGCAGAGGGAGAGGAATAAGAACCACGCAGGCCTCTGTCTCCTCTTAGCTTTTGATCTGCCTTTTGTGAGCTCCTGGATGCTTCAACATCCCTCCTCCGTCCCCTTAACCCTGCCCATACCTCTGAGAAGAGGCCATTCATTGATGCAAACATCGACAGCTGAGTGGGTCTTTTATTTCCTGCCAGGACCCTGACGGGCACCCCCCCCCACCCATGACGCAGAGCCTGCCTGCCCTGCCCACTTTTCTCTCCTCACAGTCGCCTTAGGGCTGAACTTTCTGTCTGTCCCACACATCATGACTCCTCCTTCCCCAGGCTGCCTCCTTTCTTAGGTCCCGTCTTACTTCCTAGAACCATCCTCACTGGTCTTCCGGCTAATAAAGACCTGGGCTTTACCTGCTCCTGGCCTCCCTCTGTCCTTGCTCCGAGAGATGAGACAGATCCCTGTTCAACCAGCAAGTAGGTGACAACCTGTGGGCATGCACATGGTGGGAGGGAGACAAGGCAGCCTTCATTCACTGATCCTCAGGGCTCTCACCAGGAGTCCTGTCTGGGAGATGGAGCTGGCCAAAGGCCACTTGATTGGGATGGGGAGAAGAAAAGGAAAGTCTGGGGAGAGGAGAGGGAGGCATTGCTCTGAGACTGGGTCTTCTCCAGACCTTTGCCCTCTCCCCCCACCATCCCCCCCGCTTCAGCTGGACAGCCCTGAACCATGGGGTCGATATTGTCTGCAACCCAAGGCCGAGATTGTGCAAGACCCGTGTGTCCTTTGGGAAACGTGATGTCTGTGTTTGTTCAGCATATAACCCCCTCCTATCCAGGTCTGAGGTCCCTGGAAAAGGCACCGTAAAGGAGAAAGTCTGAAAGAGACCTCCTGGAGAAAGGCAAATCTGAGCTGCGGGCTTCGTGAGCAAACGCTTACTCGCTCAGAAGTTCTCCGTCCTTTGACTTTATGAGATCTTCACCTAAGGAGAGAATCTAAGGAAGCCTTCTGGTGCTTGGCCGCCCTCTTCCACCACTGTCTCCCACCCCAAATCCAGCCCCTCCCAGATCTCACCGCCCTCCTTCCAACTATAGCTTCAGTCCCCAGGGTGAAGACTAAGGTGAGGTGAAGTGAGGTACTTGCCTTGGAGACAGAATTTTAAGGGGATGTCAAAAATTCCATCAGTCAAGATAAATAATATTTTAATGCAATATTTTTTTAAAAATCAATGCAAAAATATCCAAGATGAACAGAATAGCAAATTTTAAAATAAACTAAATGTAACAGGAATCAGTATTATTCCTTCTCTCTTTTGGTTCTGCTTTTCACAAAAAAGGAAGAGTGGAATTGTCCTCTTCCCAACCTTTTGCTCCAGCGCTCCCTGGGCCCTGACACTAGGCTCCTCAGGCGTTTCTCTGTAGGCCCCTCCTACTTCCTCACCCACTCTCAAGCCTGTCGCTACCCCCAGCCCCCAGCCAGGTTGGTGGTAGGGCGGGCCTGTGAGGCAGATGGCTGGGGTATTTATAACCTGGGAGCACTTCTTGGGAAAAGTGACTAAGATGCTAAGAGCATATTTATAGCTGGGTTCTGACGTCAGTGTCACTGGGGAGGTAGGGGCAGGCCACGCACAGCGCGAGAGGGTAAGAAGAGGTGGAAATCGGGGGCGCCCGATAGAGAGGGCAGGGGAGGACTGGGGTCGGTGACTCCCGCAGTCACTTCTGGATGCTCCCTTGACCCTGGCTCACCCACCGGTGAGCCCTCGGAGACAGCGCCACAGGCAGAAACCTCCGCTTTGCAGTTCTAGGGGCCAGACCCCAAGGGGCAGAGAGGGCTGTCACTCACAGACTTGACCGACAGAGAGGGCGCTGGCCGCTGGGGAGAGCCCTGGACAGTGGGACTTGAATATGACTCCAGACCGAGGGAGAAAGGCAGGGCGGAGAGAGGGTCTAGAAGTCTCATTGGCCCCCTCCCCACCACAGGTGCTGCAGCGTGGCACCCATCGCTGCCCTCCATGGCCACGTGGCAGTGATGAGGTCCAAAACCGAACTGACGGTAGCAGTGATGTGGTCCCGATGACAGCCTCGGCTTTCCGGCAGCGGCGAGCGGAGGAGAGAGCTGAGGCACCAGCTTCTCCTTCTTCTGGCGGGGAGGCAGGGTCCCCAGAGGGAGAGGCGGGGAAGCAAGCCCTCTGAATCCCCGCACAACGCAGAGCAGCCCCTTCCCTGGGGAGCTGGTCAGCGCCGAGTCCTCCGCCGTCCAGCGGCTCAGCACTGCCCCATGGCGGACACTGGCGGTACCGCGCCCCGGCCCCCAAAGCGCCGCCTCTCTTCCCCGGTGCCAGAATCTAGCAGTCTCTCTTGAGAGCCCCCAATGGCTGAACAGCCAGGAGATTAACAAACTGGAATAGGGGCCCATTTCCCAAAACACACTCACTTCCTCCCAGCTTCGTGAAGAAACTGGGGCATAAGGAGAAAGGCTGATGACATGAGGCCTTGGTCCTCCCATTTAAAGGCAGTGAGGAGTGTGATAAGGAAGGCTGGGGTTGGGACTCAGGTTGCTATACTGGCCATGTTTTGTTCTTAAAAAGCCCATAAATCTCCCATGTCCCACCACCATTAACTGAGGCTGGCACCACTCCTAGGATACCCCAAATCTAGGCAGCTCTTGGAGTCCCCTGAAAGAGAACCAGTGTCTGGGACAGGCCCTTCCAAGTCTCATGCCCTTCTGCCATCCTTGATGGACTCTGCCCTGATGTAACATTGCATCACCACCACCCCCACCTCTCCAGGTTTCCCCAGACATCACAGCGACATGCCATCCGCCGCCCAGGCTCCAGCCCTCGTCCACGTTGTGCTCCGGTCCAACTGGACTCTGGGCAGCCAGCACAGGCAAGGTCAGGAGGTAACTTCTGTGCCCCATGACACACCACCTTGGCCTGAGCAAGAGGACTCCATTCCTACCGCCAGCCCCCCGGCCTCTCACCCCTGTCCCAGCCCCACTGCTAGAAATAAAAAATAACCGAGCTCTCCTTCTAGCCCAGAAAAATAACCACTGGGATTCCCAGCTGCCTCATGGAAACTGCTGCAACAGTGGAGGCCAGGAGCTAGACTGGAGGTATGGGGGGAAGTGACCTTCCCACCTTGCTCACATGGAGCTCCCTCCCCCGAGCCCCAGGCCTTGGGGATTGAGCCTGTGAAATCCTCCTCCTTCTTGCATCATTCGTGTCCACATCGCCCCCCACTCCCCCCCCACCCCTACCTCAAGCTCCGTGACCAGGGCCAGATGGTGAAACCTGAGCTCCAGGGGGGAACCTCCACCCACGGCAGGGGCCTGATGGGCAGCACAGCTGGCCAATCCCGGGGCTCAGAGGGTAGGTCTGCCTGCTGACCACTAGGTGAGGGAGCCCTAGGCTGCTGGCTCCAGAGAGGCCCCGGTCAGTAGCCAGACGTGAGCTGCGAGGGTCGAACTGGCAGACTGCACTGAACATCGCTACCCATTGGACCATCCACTGTCTGCCTTCCTGAGTTCCAGGCGACAGAGGACAGGTGGCCCTACCCTTGGCCAAGGGTAGGTGTGGCACTGCTGGCTGCAGCCGCCGTGCCCTCCTCATTGGCCTCCACGCAGCCAGACCCAACAGGAGGAGCACCGGCCCTCCGAGGCCCCGACCTGACCCCGGGCTGTTCACCAGGACCATGGGGCTCCCCAGTGTCCAGCTCCAGCTGGTGCTGCTGTGGGCACTGGTGTGGGCACAGGTGGCAGGGTCTGCGTGTCCCTCCTGTGGGGGCCCCGCGCTGGCACCCCAAGCAGAGCGAGCTCTGGTCCTCAAGCTGGCCAAGCAGCAAATCCTCGAGGGGCTCCAGCTGACCAGTCGGCCCCGGATGACCCATCCTCCACCGCAGGCGGTGCTCACCAGAGCCCTCCGGAGACTGCAGCGGGGAAGAGCGGTTCCAGCGAATGGGGAGCAGGTCATCAGCTTTGCTGTCCTCACAGGTGGGTGAGGGAGAGACAGGCAGAGAGCTGATGGGGCAGGGGACGCAGAAGGGGAAGGTGACAATGACAGCAGGAGCAGAGGGAGCTGGGTGTGGAAGGGAGAGGAGGAACTGCAGCCGGACTGGCCTCGGAGTCCCTGCTTCTTCCGCAGGTGGGAGCTGGGGAGCACGGCGGGCAGGGCTCTCGGCAGCCTCAGGGGACAGCATCACCTCCGCCCACATTCTCCAATCCCGTCTCCATCTTTCTGGCAGACTCCTC